CCCCAAAACCCCAAAACCCCAAAACCCCAAAACCCCAAAACCCCACTTGTGTGGGCAGGAGTTGAAATAGAGGGTTGGGGGTTAGGAGGGGGATTGGGTAGGGGGAGGGGTGGGTGGAGGAGGGAGAGGAGGGAGGAGGGAGGAAGGAAGAAGGGAGGGGGATGGGGGAGGGAGGGGGATGGGGGAGGAAGGGAGGGGAAATGGGGGTTTTAAGGGGTTAAGGAGAAGAAGAGGAGGTTTTTGAGGGTGTAGGTGGTGTAGGGGGAAGAGGAGTGTAAGGTGGGGTTTGAGGGGATTGGGAGGTAGAAGGTAGAAGGAGTATGGGAAGTAGAAGGGTGATAGAGAGGGGCTGGAGGTTGACGGGAAGGAAAATCCTGGTCTTTTTGTTGGAAATATTTGGACCAGTTATATTGTCTGACTCTAGATCTCAAAATATCTTTAAATGCCCTGCCGTTAAGACTCTGCTCAGTAAAATCTCAGAATCTTCAGATTTTATAATCTTCTATCAAAGAGATGTTGATTTCTTAAAAATTCTTGTAACAGAAAATTGACATCAAAATGTATAACTTCTTTCGTTAAAATTTAAAACTCCAATTTTGGGTCTGAAATGATCAGCCAGCTAAAATTTTATGAACGTTTTCTCAAGCTTTCATATACTATAAAGAACCTTCTAAGTCTGCATTTGGCTCATTATTCGGAGGAATATAGTAAGGATTTTCTCGAAGTGTACTGGCTGTTCTCTTTCCTTCGTTTTGCAAAATCTGAAACTCTTCACATCCTAAAGAAGTGTGAGCTGTTACAAATATCCATATTTTAAATCAGGATTATAAAAACGTGTCAAAATTAGTATATTATCTCTTGTCCTTGGTATCTAAACTTCTTGACACTCACTTTTCAAGTGTACCTTCGATAAAGATACATTTCCCGACTGATCAGGCTTATTCTTCTCTTAAAGAAGAACTCCAAAGCTCGCTTGAAAGAAAGTGATACTCAAAAATCTGTTACAAAGAGTAGACAAAACCTTTCAGTTTTAATCTTTGTCAACATGAAACCTCTCCTTTGGGGTTTTGGGGTTTTGGGGTTTTGGGGTTTTGGGG